TCCCTCCCACATCCACGTGCGAAGCACATGCGTCACCGCAGCAGCGCGCCAGGAAAGCTCAGAAGTCTCGATTCATAACCTGTGTTCTCAAAGTGTCTGCGCAGTTGACACGTCAGTTCTCGAGCTGCAATTTCAACAGGTGGCCCGTTGTCGATGTTTCGGTCCGAACAACATGTTGCCGACAACTTCTAACTGGACTCCCGCAGATAGCACAGGCGGGATCGTCATGTTGCGAACTATTCGTTCCAGGGTATATTCCATCGTTTTGATGAGGGTCCACCGACGTCAGTGAGGTGTAACATGCGCGAGCTTGCCGAGATATATGCTTTGTGCGCATGGATTTGCCGCAATCATTGCTCGAGCCTTTCACCAATGCTGATGAGGCAGCACCTCACACGAATCGATAATTATTCGGTATAGCGGCGTCATTGCTTGTGGAGGGGCCGGGGGTTATGACAAGGTCAGGGTGGAACCGATTGTCGAATGTGCGTATTCTGGCTCCCAACATAGCAGCATTGCGTTCGACATGCCAGTAGTTTCTTCAGTTCTGGCCAAGGGCGCAAGTTCATGGCTTCTTAAAAGCATCCCTGCTTCGTAGAAGGCGCGGGCCTTATCTATAGATGTAGGGCTGCCGCCTTCTAAGAAGCAGCCTCCTTCTGAGAAGCCTTCCCCCTCCCCTTGCTCCCTTGCGCGCGCGGCCAATTCTTGAAGGATCATAATTCGATGTAGCAGCAGCTCGAGAAGGATGAGGAGCAGCAGCAGGCGAGCCGCAGCATCAGCACGAAGCGGACAGCTAGCGAGGGGAGAAGCAGCAGAACCAGGGGAGCGATGAGGAGAGGAGCATAGCAATTCGAACGCAACATTATGGGCACGCACTGGCGCAACCTGTGGCCATGAAGGTCCATGGCGCAACCCGTGGGCGAAGCCACGTGCGCGACCAATTGCCAAGATATTTCCCTGGGAACTCCAGCCCAAACTGGGTGCTCAACGCACAGGGCAACCAGTTGCTACGAGGACGAGCAGGGCCCTCAAGCGCGGCCCATGGGGGAACCCATGGGCGCAACCAAGGGCCACAATTAAAATCCACTCGGCCTCAGGCGCAGCCCGTGGGCGCAACCGATGGCCACGGTTCATTCCTGGGGCCTCAGGCGGAATCCATTGGCGTAAGTTTTGTTGGGGAACCCAGGGGCGCAACCAATGGGTTGGCCACAGAAGCTTCCCCAGAGCTTCGGCACAACACATGTGCGCAAACAATGGGCTCGACCAATTGCGACGAAGAATCCGCTGGCACTCAGGCGCAACCCATGGGTGCAACCGAATTATAAGTCGCAGTCCGTGGAAGCAGTCTATAGCCACGGCAAAAGCCGCAGCCTCCATGGAGCAGGAACACCGTCGGGACACTGCGGTCAGGCACCATCGGGACTCCACCTTGAGGACACTGTCAAAGTCGATCGGGCACCACCGGGACATGATGGAGAGCCAGCTGGACACCGCCGGGATACCATCTCGAATTTGTGCTGGGGCAACGCCAGGGCACCGTGGCAAAAGGATCGGGCCACAGTCGAAGCGCGATCCAGAGCAGCATCGGAGCTCCAGCGCGCGCCGGAGCCCGCGAGCGCCCTGTCACGGCGAGCGCTGCCTCGCGATGGAGCCGACCCGCGCAGCAGAGGCAGACGCGCAGTCGGAGACGCTGGCAGGCTCGGACCTGGCGGGCGTTCGCAGCCTGCGGGACGCGGCGCGGGCCGGCGCGGGCGTCTACTGGGACTTTGCCGCTTCGGCCGCCAGGCGAGGCAGGTCGTGGCAGGAGCGCGCCCCGGAGGAGGTGCGCCTGGAGCTGAGCAGAGACTGCACCGAGGAGGAGCTGCAGGCCTGCCGGGCCGAGTGCAGGATCGACGAGGTCGGGCCGGCGCCCGACGGGGTCAGCCCAGAGGTGCTGATCATCATCGGGCCGAGCGGCGCGGGCAAGTCCATGGCTCTGCCGAAGGCTGCAGAGCTGTTCGGCCTCGACCTGTCTGGATTCGCCCACGTGGACGGGGACGACATGCGTTCTTGCCACGGCGCGTGGAAGGCGCTCGTCGTGGGCGACGAGGAGAATGGCTACCTGGACGCCTACGACATATACGTGAGCAACAAGATCGGCGGCGAGCGAGGGGGGTGAGTGAGAAAGGGAAGGCCTTCTCAGAAGGCGGCGGAGCTTCTCAGAAGGCCTCTGGCCTTCTGAGAGGCTTTCTGTGTTGCCGGGCAAAGCTTAGAAGACTTCTCAGAAGACCAGGCGACTTCCGAGCCTTCTGAGAAGGCCCGCCCCGTCTGGCTTCCCATCCGCGCTCGCCGCCGATAAAGAGCAACAAGGACCTTAAGAAAAAGTATTCCAAAGAGTGCCTGAGGGCGAGGAAGAGCGTCGTGTTCCCGTGGACCAACATTGAGCAGGCGGCGCTCGACCTCATCAAGGAGTTGGGATACACAGTCTACATACTTGGCCTTCTCATCTCCTGCGCCGAGT